ATTTCGCACGAGTTCCTTCAACTCGGACGGCCTCCGTACCTGCAAGAACCCAACACCGGCAGGGGTCCCGGCGTCGGGTCTCCGACGCTCAAGTCAGAATCACTCCAAGTCTCCAAATCCCAAAAGTATAATTATGAATGTAGAGAGAATGAGATACCTTAGCCCCTTTTATAGGGGAAGTGTACCTTATGGTTTAAGTTAGGCTTGTCCAATAGCATCATGCCATATGTCCTAGCCATGTGTGTGTTTGTTCTTCAATACATTCCATTTTTATCCATTAAATCCGATTTAGTATAATATCCTATATCAAAATCCATAAATATGTACGTAACACATATTTAGATAGCATTCACAAATTAATTATTTAAAAAAAAAAACAATTTAAAATTTTCCTACCATATTGTTCCCTTGTAAGCTGTACGTAATTTCATGGGATCATTTATAGTTTTGTACAATTATAAATATTTTATGGTTGTTAAAATTTTTAAGGAGTACTATTATATCATTGGTATATATTCCAACGTGTTTGTATATATTCCAACGTGTTTGTTATAAAAAGTGTAACATCAATCCATTTCGAGAATGTTAGTCTATGATAGACTAGAACTACAATAATAGAAAAATTGAAAAGTTACTAACTTTTTTCCCCGTGGAGTATAATTTGGACAATAACCAACACCAAATAAATAATTTTCAAATTTGAACATACATATATAATATAGTACTATAGTATAATTATTTAGCGAACGAGTTCGGCTCAAGCTCGCATTAATTCGTTTAATAAATTAGTCATCTCGAACACGTGCGACTAATAAGTCGTACACTCAAAAATAAAATTTTTATATATTTTTATTATAATTTAGCTCTTTAAAACTTGAGACTCGAGTTGGATTCACGCCTTGTCTTATCACTATCTCCAACTAGTCAATTTTGCAGTTGAGAAGCAATGCATTATTATTAGTAACACATTTTCCATCATAGCATAAAATACATAATGAACATGACTTTTTATATTTCATGATAATTTCTATTAATCATATGTTGTGTGTCTACTATATAATAAACATGTTTAATTGTTTAGCTAAAAAGTAAGGTGGTAAATAAATCGTCTCATTTAAAATTTGAAGGGTTAATTAACTTAATTTCTTGCTAACCACAAAGACAATATAGTAAAATGTATTTTTATTATTGTTGAGAACTTGGGATAATAGTTGCTTAGACGCGTGTTTTTGTCTATTACGTGCCTTCACGCTGTATCATTAGACCAATAATAAATTATTACGTGTTGTTAAATTGACTTTTCTTGTTTTATAATAAATGCATACTTGCATCAAATGGCAATGTGAATTGAAAAACAAAAGGAGAAAAATAAAAGTAGTTGAAAAGCTATTTAATAACAGACAAGTTAACATAGAGTTTGTCTAAGTTAATTTTGAGCTTATAATTAATAGTTTATATAATAAAAAACTAACTAATATATAATAAAAGTAGTAGATAAGTAGCTGAAATAAAAGTTTTTAGTTTTAAAAAAAGTTACATGAAAAAACTTATGAGATAAGTTTGAAATTTACTAAAAAGCTCATCATACTAAATTAAGTTTATTTAAATATAAACACTTTATAAAACTAATTAAATTAACTATAAAGTAGCTTCCAATGCTTATTAAACGCACTTTGCTTACCTACAAATGCTTACTTATAATAGCTTATTATTTGTAAATTATGAGAAACTTTAACTGCGGATAAGTCATTTAGAATAATTACTAACAACTAATTATCAAAATGTACACATGTAATTATGTTTTCTAGCGTATCATGCTTTGTTTGATGTGGTTAAAATAAGGCTCAAAATAAACTGATAAAAAAAATTAAAAAAGTCACTGAGATTAGGTTTCTTGTTGTTTCAACATGTGTATTAATTAGTTAATAATGAGTAATGTGCCTGACAAATTGACTGCATTGTGATATGATATTATTATTTTCTATTTCACACCTATCAGATATATATTAACGAGAAAACGACAATTATGTCTGTGTAGGTACTAACTATTGTTTTTTTCTATAAATTTTATTTGAAATTTCCAGCAAAAGCATGAAAGGTGAGAATAAAAGTTACATTATATTGTATGCAAATAAAACAATTTGCACGTGAATTTTGATGATGTACTAATACATATAGTTCATACCTTATAAAATTTTATAAAATTTCTAACGAAACAAGTTGTTCATGAACTCGGTTCATTAAATTTGAGTTCGACTAGACTTGTTTCTTGTTGACAGCTAGTCTAATTAGCGAATTGGGTTAGATTCAACTTGACTTCTTAAATCTTGAAATTAAAGTATCATTTTTTATATAATTATCTATATTTTAACTCGTTAAGTCTCAAGTTCGCTCGAGCTCAATTCATTAATTAATGAATCAAATTCAAGTAATTATTAACTCATTTCATTAACGAGTCAAGCTCGATCATTAATGTGATGCTTTCGAGCTCGCGTTATAAGCTACTTTACAACTCTATTCATTTCTTATACAATATGAAATGTGATGCACCTTCTTTCGAATTTGGTCCCTGTAATATAGTTTTTTTTTGGTCCAATCAGATGTTGAACAAACAATCTACCCATTTAACGTGACAATTACTCCATACCAAAAAAAGTAAATGGAGAAAGAATTTTTCTAAGTAATAAAAAATGATAATTAAATGTCAAAGTCTACGCAAATTAGGGTGCGTGATTGCCTGAGAGCTGAAAAAAATTAGCAATTTAACCCTTAATTACTATTTAATGTATTGAAATCTCATTTCTGTACACACATCATCAATCGCTGACCCTGGCCCGCCCGGCCCACTCACCTTGCCCATTCTACATAGATGTGTAATTTAATTACTATAAACTTCATACTGTGCTAATTGGCAAATGATGGAGCAACATAACGATTAAACATTAAACGAGTCGATCAATCATACCCTTAAAAAAAATACATATCCATACTGTGTAATATAATATTAAACGGGTCAATCAATCATAATCTCTAAAAAAATATATATTTAAATTGCGAAATATTATTTTATTTAGTTTAATTTTCAAAACATAACATTTTATCTAAATTATAAAATATTATTAAAAAATATGATTATCTAACCCTTACATTATTAATCTTACCTATATCATTTACATGCACAACATAATTTTTTTGGTGAGAATTGTTTGGCAAGTTGATTCATCATATATTTATAACAAGAATAAATATTTATTTTATAAAAAAATTATATTTTTATTTATGCTATTTTTTGAGTGACATTTTAGTTTGAAAACATGTATCGTGTATGCTTAAAAAGTTAAGGCAAACTGCTATGTTATTTTGTTTATTTCTCATATCAATAGTTTATCTTAGTTAAAGTACCATAAAGTTCGGACTTTAGTAGACTTGTACTGTTAATTGCGACATATTTATATATTTGTTTATTTTTTGTGCTAAATTATTTGCCAATGAAGATGAAAGCTTTTGTAATCAGCGAAAAAATATTGGGCACGTGTAGGATAACTGATAATTGTGGGCGTGTGAAATCAGAAATGTACACGATGGGCCCTAAATTATGACAAATAATGTTTGTTAGGTTTGGTGATTAGTCGTTATAAATGGGCCATATATACATGGGTTCATGATATGTGAAAACATGCACTATCTTACACGTCCATGGAAAAACGTACACGTGTTGCTTTCGATGGTAGTAAGATGTAGCTGGGTCTAGTCGAGCATAGATTTTATGGAGCGTTTTCATTTTGTTTGTTTGAACTCGAACTTGACGAGTCGAACATTTATGGCTCGAAATCTGTTCGAATTCAATTTAAAATTTCAATATAAAAATGTCTAATTGAAATATTTAACCAATTTTACGTATATTCAAGCGATTTCTTGATCACTTAAACTTACAAACTTCATACTCGAATTCGAGATGCTCGAGTTTGACTCAGTTCAACCAGACTTTGAAAATATATCTGAAAAAATGGTTTACACGAGACGTGGACCCAACCTCAAATTGGACTCGTAAAAGATTCTTGAGCAAGACCAACACTTCTTAGCATCCACAGAGTTGTAAATAGCTTAGCTCAGTTTGAGCTCCTGATACTCGAGGCTCAGACTTAAACATTTATCGAGCATGTTTACTGATCGAGGCAATAATTGAGTTTTATTTATTAGAAATCTCGAAAATGCCACAGAGAGGTTGGGTATTTACACGATTTTGTTAGAAATATCAAAATTGCCACAGAGAGGTTAAGTAGTTACAGTATTTTGGATGTGGGGGTTGTCGAAAATCAAGCCTTTGAAATCGACGGTATATATTTCAACGAAATCGAGTAAATTCAAAACCCCAACAGGGTTTATAGGAAATTTAATTTTTTATCAATAATTCAGCGGTCGAAAACTCTGATTTTTTTCAACACCAATCAGAATAATGAGCAGAGTAGAAACCCTAACTCTACGAGCACAATATTCGACCTACTTAATTTGATGAAATTTGGTAACAATTTATTGGGATTAGCATAATAAAAGTCAACACTCAACAATGTCAAAAAGAGTATTATGGGTAATCAGTAAAGCTAAGGTATGTGTAATATAGTTCATTATGTAGGAAGAAATGAGTGAAAAATTGACGACACTGAATCAATTGTGATTCGTTTTTCATCACAACATGTTAAAAAAAAATAATTTATATCGATAAACGGGAAAGAAACTTCTTTTTGTTTTGTCATTTCCAAACATTACGAATTTGTCTTCACGCAGGGATTTTTTTTTTAAAAAAAAAATTATTTAGAATTTTGAAATTTGTTCTAACATATATATGCATCATTTTTTTTATTACTATTTTTTTTATTGAATCACCATACAATCTGCATCACTGTACTAAGTTTGACTTGGCTAAATCTCAATTTATATATAGACTTTTGATCGTTATTATTTAAAAAAAAAAANAAACAGAGAATCACTCGAAACTCGGTCTAGACGAAGCAGTTAAAAAAGCTCCTTACTAGGGAATTAGATTTTTTCCAAATATCATTTGTTATCGACTCATAAGCTCGGTCGGTAAGATGAAACGAGTCCCAAAATAGGTACTCGTTTGGTTTTTCGCACACCTTATACTTCTTAAACGGTCTCGTTCCTCCGCAGCTAAACTCACCGTTGTACTTTCCATAACCGCAGCACGCGTCATCCTCATTCGCCACTTCTGCATTTTGTACGTTTTTCGAATCTTAATCACAACTAAAAAAAAATTAATAATAATAACAATAACAAAAGCAAATGATTAATGTGTCGGTTTTTGATTGGTTTTTATTACTGTGTTTTTTCGGATGAGCTGTCCTCGAGGCGACACTTTGTGCGAGGTCGAATATAGTAATCTTGGAGGACGGTAAGGCCCGTCCCAATTCTTGGGCCTTGTTTTCGATGGCCTCGTTGTACAATGTTACTATATCCGAAGCGTTTTTCAGGCACGGCCCAATCTTTTTATCCGGGTTCAAGAATTTCAGGCCCGGCGAACACCCGAGATCGAGCAAGTTTAGCAACACGAATTTTCGTCCTCCTTGCTTGTATATTTCCTGCACACACACACATATATATACACATACACACAATCTTATTGTTTTTTTTTTTGACAAATTTGCCCTTAATATCACGACGTTTTTCGAAATTGTAAATTAATCACAACTTTTTTCACTCTTGAAGATTATGATATATTTTGCAAAAGTGAAAAAGTTGTGACTAAATTGCAATTTCGATCAAGGTTGTGATATGTAGGGGCAATTTTGGCTTTTTTCTTTTTGTGATTTTTGGTTCGATTAATTGCGGGTACATTTCGACTTACTTCGACCACGGTCGACAAGTTCCCGATCATCGCTTTCACTAACTCACTCTTGTTTGGAATCGGAGTATTCAATTCGAAATAAACGATAACTTCTGTGGCACCAAAGGTGATGACATGGACAGCATTTGATGCAATTTTTGTAGCTTCTTTGGAGCCAAATGTTTTGCATAGGTTTTCCAGTTCGGTTACGTAATCATTCAACTGTTGCGTGCGGTTAACCGACTGGAAAAAAAAAAGGAAAAAAATAGAGAGAAACAGAACAAAGGTTCGAAGATTAATGTACAAGAATACATGATGTGGTTCTATCATCTTAAGCTAACATTATTCAGAAAAAAAGGTTCGAAACTCAAAAAAATTAATAAATAAATAAATAAATAAAACATACGAAGCCTGGCAAAGTCGTGGTCAAGGCCCCAGCTCCGGCTGATGCGAAGCTCACCCCAGTGTAATTTGTGTCGATTTTCCGGGTTTGATTTAGAAACGCGGGAATGAGTCCTTTGATTCCTGCAAATTTAGCTACACAACGCATCGAATATAGTTTACATTTTCTTTCTTGGCCAAAAACACTTAAAAATTGGTCTATATAATAAACAGAACATATATATAGGACAATGCACTTGATCTGTATAATGCTTTTTGTCTAAGAAAAAAGACTTATAACAACAAATGTAATTTTAAGAAAACCTTAATAAAAATGTTGTCTTAATATAAGATTCGTTCGAAGATTCTAGTTTGGCACAGTTAGTTAGTTACCTAGGTAGTCGATTATGGTTAGACCGTCTGTGAATCTGCCGGTTGGCTTATTTCCAAATCGGGTCTCGCCATATGGAGGGAAATTGGCCTGATCTTGAGTGCTCGTGTTAATGTAGTTGTTGTTGCCTAAGTCGAGATAGGAGTCGCCAAAGGCAAAAATGACCGGCTTTTTGCAGCCTTCGATGCCGTTTATGACGATGGCGAAGAAGACGAGCACGAGTATCGATAATTCTGCCATTTTCGAGTTTTGAATTTAGTCTT